AATATTTCCTTTTTGTTTGTTGTTGTAGTTTATGTCAATGCACGACCTCCAGGATGGCATCATAGAGAAGCTCGCTGATGAAGACGGCCTGATGGAGTTGCCTACCAAATCATCTTTTACTCTTTGTGCTTATGTTGTTCAGCATGTAGTAGGTCTTTCTGACATCTTAGAAATTACTGTAAAATTGAATTATCTTTTGTTATCAGCTAATAGCTCCAATATTATGCTTGCTTTTGTTTTAGTTTCAGCGTGTCTGTCGCTTTGATGTGCACATTGTAACATGTCAGAAACCAGTCTGCTTTCATTCCCATGTCATCAAATACCGAGATATTGTCATGCCCCTCGACATCCTTAAGTTCATCAAGTTTTAAGTTACATAACGTTACATAAGTGACTTGAGTCACTTGAGAATCTAACCGAACTGCGATTGTTTGGCATTTACCATGAATTAAAAAGGCGTCTCAAACAGATGCTAAAGTGTACCCTGTGCATCAAAAAACAAAATAAAACTCACCGAAACCGTCTTGATAGTCAGATTTCAGATTTAAATAATAGATGATTTCCTGGTTGCAGTGACATAGTGGAAATGAAGCTTCCTGTCATCAAAGTAAAGGCAGATTCTGAGTCGAGAGGTGAGACATCACGCCCACTCATTTTACTTTTATTTAGGTGTGGGCAATTGGACAGAAAGCTCTGTTGAAAAGCAAAATTAGACTTTTCTTTCTTAGTATATAATATTTTTTTTAAAGAATACAACTTCATACATATGTAGCTGTACACACCCTAAGTCCTGGATATGGCAGGTCTCTGTGGTCTGAAGATCCTGCTGCTCTCGGCTGCAATAATTGCTTTGGCCAACTGTAAGTAACAATCTTCAACGTCAACGCAATGTGCTTTTTTAAACAAAAAATTTATTTTGTGAAGTCATATCCTTGTATCTATTCCCTTTAATTCTTTAAGAATTAGAAGAAGAAGCATTTAACATTTCAATGATATAAAACTTGAAAAATAGCTGGAGGTTATTCTATATTCTAATCAATTAACTTGTTGTAGCGTATGGTTGGGGAGTAAGTGATTGTTTATATGACAAAAACTGAAACATTTTTCATGCTCTAAATAATTTGTGTTTGCATGTTCTCCAGGTACTTTGGTTTCCCACACCATTAAAAACATGTATGTTAGCTTAATTCTCAAGTCAGTGCCCTTGATCAGGGTACTTGCTTAGATGGAGTTGGTCCCCTGGTGCTGTACAGCAGCTGCCCACTGCTCCTCGTACTTAGGGAGGGTTAAATGCAGAGGGCGATGTGTTGAACTGTATGACTGTACAGTATATGTAATAATAATAAGTTAATTCTATTCTATTCATAATAAAAACACATCTTTCCTGCAATTTTAAATCTAAATTTGAGTATTTAGGTTGTAAGGCCCATTCAACAAATTAGATTTTCTTTGTGCATAAAAAATATTAAAACACAGTTTGAAATTTGTTATAGATTATGATAATTCTGTGTTCCTAAGACAACACGGTATGTCTGATATAATAGCTCCAGTCTATTAAATCCATCATGACCGCCTACTCTTCATTATTAAAAAAGAGATTTTAGAAAATCAAAATAAACAAAGCGCAAATTAATTTAAGCGTTTGTGTCTCGAACCAGCTTTATGCTGACAGGAAAAAAGCAAAACATCTTACTGGTATTAATAAGTACTGCATGATAGGAAATGTGCATTACTATGAATTTTCCCGATAATGAAATTACAGCTAATAAAAATTTCAGATTTTTTGAGTTTTTTTTAATGAACTTTCCTTGAAAAAATTATAGAGCATTTAAAGAGTCAGAATTGTTGTTGATTTTGTTGTGTTAACAATAATGATGTCACAATGTTACATTTGGTTTGAACAGAGCTCTGGGATATTAAATCATCCATTTTAGCTATTTTTTCTTTAGGAACTTAATCTGTGTAAAGAAATCAGTGCATACACTACGCATAACAGGACAGACAACCAAAAAAAAGAGTAGAAAAACTTTTGCAGTTTAAAATGTTCACCAGTGAGGTAAGGTTTTCTTAAGAATGTCCATAAATAAATAATAAATTAAATCCAAGCAGCCAAACAGGCAGTAATGAGTCTGATGGAAGTAGGCACAAAGCTTGACATGGCCCGCTTGAATGGGAGTGAGCTGTATTTGCAGCCTGAAGAGATAAAATACACAAAAAAACACACACAAAAAAAACACAAAACACTGACTGGTTTAAGATGAATAAAATGAGATGATGCTCTTCAAAATAAACACACATTACACAAATTAAGAAGAGCTCAGAGAAGAGCAACAAAAACACACAAAAAGTATTTCAGATACTGATTATTAGTGTGGAGAGGAGAGTAGAACGGCTGAAGAATAGGACACAGGTAGTTTAAATATATTTATCTGTACTTGTGCTTTAGAAATGAATAAACATATTATGTTTTTTTATTGTTTTCTAACTTCCAAAAATATAATTGCATTTTCTAGCTGCGGAATCTCCACATTGTGAGTATCATATTACTTTTTTAATCTCATGCTACATTCGATACCTGTTTTTTTTCCTCCTCATTTAAAAGAATGCGTCAACACGAACAAATACTTAACTATTATTATAATATTCAACAACAAGAGACAAATTATTCTAACTTTTTTTTTTTTTTAGGTTCTTACACTGTTTCAACAACTTATTTTGGATTACAACTCAACATCACAAGTTCCATTGCTGGTAAATACGCCCTGAAAATGAATGAAGTAGACCGACCTGGGATTGAGAAATATTACATCTTTCAGCATTCTGCTCAAACTTGGTCACATGAAATCACACACTTGAAGCCCTGTACTGCCTATGACCACACTGTGATATTTATTGATGGTGGTGGGGAAAGGCCCTGTAACTCTGATGGAGATAAAAATCTGATAACGGATAAAATGAGTGAGTACAAAAAAAATCTTCTTAATCTTATAAATGTGAGAAAAGCCTATAAGTAATAGAAGAGAAGACTTCTTATCAGCATCCTATCTGCTCTGTATGCAACATATGCAAAAGTGTGATTTGAGATATATACAACAGACACCAGACTCTTCACATTCAAGGAAACATTTCCACCATCCATCAACCTGAAGATCAGTCAGCCATAAGAAAAATGTCCAGAGGAGCATCACTACCTAAATTATGATCAGAATTTTTCAGATTATTTTTGCACTATGGTCAGACTGTGAAACAGTAATTAATTTTATATTCAATGCAACTTGTAAATGTTGGTCTTGTGCTCTTACACAGCATATGTCTTATCAGCAGTAGTGCGTTTCATTGCCAACCACAATTAACATTTCATGTGTATAAAAATAAAAAAGATGGGATAGAGTAAGTTAGATGATGTGGAGGATTTAGGTGTCTCAGACCATCTAGGACCAAATTGGCTGCAATCCACCAACCAGAAGCCATAAGAAGGGTGTCCATGGGAACATCAATTCCTAAATTACATTTGTTATTTTAATATTATTTTTCTCTGTGAATGAATAAACCGAATGAATAGTTAATTTGTTTCATGCGCAACTTGTATAGTTGGTCTTTTGTTCTTTCACAAAGTGTCAGATGCAGCACTCGTACCAGCAGTAGTGAGACAAGTTTCATCTCTGACCACAGTTAATATTTCTTGTTTACCAAATAACTTATTACCGTAGGAGGGAAGCAGTGTGGTAGGCATTTTCTGTTGATGACTGATAACAGTTTATCTTATTCTTACTAAGTGAACCTATATAATATGTACTGAGCATAACTGAAAAACTCTTCCACAGTATCAAACCAGATTTCACTGACATTTCCTGAGATGCATCTACAACCTTTACTTTGGGAAACTATGTAGATATTTTCCTTTAGCCTCACCAAGAGCACCCATGACGTATAAATGGTGTCTTTTTATGCAACACTCCATCTATACTGGCCGCATAGCAAAAGCAGCACAGCAGCTTCTGTTACATGGCCGTGTTCAGCCACAGTACTGCTGTGCACTAGAGGCTTTTAGGCAGCAGTCACAGCCCAATAGCAAACCAGTGAAGTGAATTATCTCTGTAGAAATCTATTTTGATTTATATTTAAGGATACTGGTTGTCCTGTACTTTCTATGAGCATACAGTTGCATTCGTACTGGCAAATAAACATAAAATAAAACTAGAACTTAAGTGAGTGAGAAAGTATAAAACAGGAAGTAATGTGTGCATGACTTGTATATTTCAGATGAATCAGACATTAAAGATGTCAGCTGCATCTCTGGATATGTTTGTTACCAGAGTGAATGGGACATCAGCTCTTCATTTTCAACACCAAAT